TTGTGGCACTTCCGTATTGGCGCCCAGAGTTTGCCGCTTGGTTGGGACGTGTCACGTCGGCCGGATGTCGCCAATGACGTTATAGGAGCGAATATTCTGGATCTGCTTGTGAGCACCCCCTTTTTTTTTTTTTTTAGAGAGAGAGAGATGTGGGTACGGAGGAAAAGAGAGAGGGTTTTGTTTTCTGACACTTTGTGAGTTCCTTGACACACCGGGGACACATATTTATGTATAAAAGACATCAAAAAGTGCATTTTGCATAATAGGTCCCCTTTAAGGGAAGCTTTACAGCAGAACATGGTCAGGAACTCCAGAGTTAATAAAAACAGCTCTCTTTCTCTATTCTCAGAACTGTCAATGCACACTAGCAGAGGGACTATACCTACAGAGGACCATTAAAGTTTAATAAACACTGGAGTCAAGTGAAAGGCTGGATTAGGGCTGTGCAATTAATCGTATTTTAATCTCCATTACGATTTTGGCTCGCAACGATTACGAAAACAACGTAATCGAAATAAAACGATTATTTTGCTAGGTGCGCTTTTGCCCCTCCCTAAAAGCCCTCTCAGCCAGGTTGTGAGTGACAATAGTTGTGCGAGTTCAGCGCGAGCGAAGATGGCAGAACAAGAGCACCTTGTGAACAAGAAAGGTAAAACGAATTCTGCTGTTTGGAAATACTTTGGGTTTAAGGAGTCCGACGTGGAACAAAAAAAAGTACAGTGCAGTAGGGGCGGACTGGCCATCTGTGTGTTCTGGAGAATCACAGATGGCCAGCCCGGCCCGCTTTTTTTAAACGTCATAATTTCAGTTGCGCTGACAGGCGACAGAGGTCCACAGTTTCCCCGCAGCGAGGCTCCCCCGCCCCCCCGTTGACAGTTCACAAGCGTGCCCCCTCGACTTCATCCACCACATCACAGTCATCAATTAAGGACGCGCTTTACAGTGCAACGGCCGACTCAACCAGCTCGCAAAGACACAAAGATATAACAGATTCCATCACATTCTATATAGCTAAAGACATGTGCCCATAGCAACCAGGGGTTTAAGAAACTGGTTAACACTAGCGTCACGCGATGCCATCTCGGCATCATTTCACCAGATCTGCACTGCCTGCCCTCTATGACAAATGCCGTGGGGAAGTTGAAAAAGATGTGGCTTCAGCTGAATACTTTGCAGTTGAATTATACTTAAAGTTCAGGGTAATCAACTATTAAAAAGATGCTGTTCAAGTTAATCGTTTTATTTTTTTTAAAGTGCAATAAATTGATGTTTTCAAAGTCAATGAATAATCGTATTTAATAATCATGATATCAATATTGACCAAAAATAATCGTGATTATGATTTTTGCCATAATCGAGCAGCCCTTGGCTGGATCATGTTTGTATGAAAGGTATTCCTAACAGTCCAGCAGTCCTTTTGAGCTAAAGTTTCTTTGTTAGAAAATGTGGAACTAGTTAAGCGCCAAAAGCAGTCCACTTCAAGCTTTCACACCCATTTCCCGCCAACACTTCTGAAATCTAAACACCTGTCAAAGCTAAAGTCTCAGAGATCAAACCTTTTACCCTCGTCTGCATCAGTCCTGTAAGACTGATACAGCCCTGGGACGCATGTCATTTCTGATTTTCATTAGCAAAATAAATAAAAAAATAATCTTGCATGTTCAATACACAGTGTGAACTTAAAGGTCCCATATTATACTGTTTTTTAACAATATATTATAGGTCTCAGATATATACAGAACATGTCTCTGAAGTGTTTGGCTCAAAACACCAAACAGATCATTGCAGCATCCCATAATCCCCTCTGTTTCAGCCCTGTTTCCAAAGTGCTGATTCTCTGTCTGTTACTTTAGATGAAAATAAGGAGCCACTCCCCACGCCCCTCTGAGAGAGATTTGGTTAAAAAGAACACAATGGTGCTCTAGGAGGAAATTCAGGTGATAAGGTAGGGGGGGGGGGTTACCTTGGTGGGTGATTGGCTAATGGTTACACAAGCCAAAAAAATCGTTATGACATCATAAAGTGGCCAAAATCGGATCAGCTCATTTTCAGACATGTTTTTATATAAATGGATCAGGACAAAAAGAGAGAGAATCTTTTTTCTTGAAACTTTCAGAGTCTCTTTACACAGAGGATGTAGAAAAGACATGACAAAGTGGATTTTGCATAATATGGGACCTTTAAGCTCCATGCATTAACACAGCCTGCCAAGTAAAACTACTCAGTGTTCAGACCTCCAGTTGAACCCTGGCAGGAATAAAAATAAGTGCTGTTAGAAGCTGACGGGGCGTCAACATCTTCCTTCAGATCCACAGAATGAGCATGATGTGGTATGAATGTTTAATGAGCAGAACGCCAACAAAGAATGACAACAGTCGCCCTGATGCCTGAACCCTCTCTGAGATGTAAAACAAAGACTTGAAAGATAGATGAAGGGGACATTCAGGTCACAAGGGCGGAGCTAGTCAGCATGGCAGGAGGAAAGAAGAAACAACAAAGAAAAGGAAGAGGGACGCAGACAGAGAGACACAAGGAAGGCTTCTCAATACTCTAATGGCGCATTTCCATTGCAGCGCGTAGCTCGCTTTAAGCGTGCCGTGTCGTGCCGTCCCCTTTTTTGGTTGTGCTTCCACTAGGCCTCGTTCCGGCGCGGCACGGCGCGGGGCCACTTTTTCCCCTCTTTTCTGGCCCTAGAAAATTGTGGTTCTATCGGGGCCAACAAACAGGGCTGAGTCGGGCTGAGTATGCTAAACTAGAGAGAGGAGCGCTGGCAAGAGGGCTAGAACTACAACAAGATGGACATATTTGACCGTGATTTAATTGTAATACACGTTTCAAAATGATGCCGAAGTAACAACATACTGATACCGGTTAGTAAAAACCATGAATTAATGCTTTGTCAAGTCTGCAGACAGACGGCAGGCGAAAAACCTTTTAAAATTCGTGTTTTTCTAGATGGAGATTGGCTAAGCTAACGCAGTATATGCTCCGACCGTCCACACTCACAACAACGGCCTATACAGACATAAATAAAGCAGCGACTGTATTCACCATGACACAGGCAGTCTGTGGTGTGTACTTGTTTAACTTTTGTCGAGTTTCTGAACATATATGAGGAGCTGTGAGCTCTGAGTGCTAACAGCTAACGGCTGTGTTGTGTTTCTGGATTTCTCATTGAAGATGACGTCACGGCTCCGCCTACACTGCGTTACTACCCAGTTCCTAAACTGTAATGGAAGCGCAGCATGAAGTGAGTCGGCCCTGTTAAGGCCCAACGCGGCCAAGCCGTACCGAGCCGTACCGAGTGTGGCCGAGGCCGACCGTGTAGTGGAAATGCGCCATAATTTCCCCTCCTCGACTCCTCGGTCCTCCGGTAGTGACCCGGAAATGGATTTCAGCGCGCCATGTTGAAGGACATCTAATTTCTCTAAATGCACATCGAGGACCGAGCATCGAGCATCGAGGAGGCTCTCTGGAGGAGCTCTAACCGAGGAGACACTGATGGGTCCTCCACGGCTCCTCCGCGGATGCATTTCCGGGAACGGTGGAGGCGTTACGCACATGGATGTATAATAATAAGGTTACGCACGGCCGGACTTATCTCAGCCAATGACAGCTCTGCATGCATCCCCTGGATATTATTTTAGTAACTGCTTTCATCGCGACGCGATGTTTACAGTGAGAACAGCTGTGAGGTCCGTGCAGAAAGCAGAGCAGTGTGTATAATATATATCACTCAGTATAACAGGCCTACATTACTCTCTGTATTTGTATGCTTTAGTTTTAGATATCTACAAACAAAGAGTCCATATTTTTCTAAAACCATTTAGTGCTTCACATAATGAAATACACAACGGCTGTATCCTGATATATTATATACTTTAGGAGCTGTAGGTGTGTGTGGTACAGTGTGTAGGTGTGTGTGGTACAGTGTGTGCGTAGATGTGGCGGACAGACGGGTCTCAGTTGGTTTGGTGTCCTATGCTTACTTTTAATACTTGTAAATACAACTTTTGGCCCGTAATTTAATTTCCCCATTTCAGCGACCAGAGAGAGGGGGGGGGGGATATATCCAGTCTCTGATAGTGTTACGTTATTATGAGAGTGCTCTCATACTTGTTTGATTCTGCAATTGTATATATTTATATAAATATATATGTGTGTATATGTGCACATCTGTAGCCTGTTATTGTCTCATTATACCGCACTGTGAATGAATTAAAAGTAAATATATAAGTGGTCATGAACACATCTGTCCATCAGACAGAGGGCTGCTGTGCCTCCTGTCATCATTAATGGACGTCTCTTTAAAATGACCGCTCAGAGGAGAGGAGTTCTCATTTCTCTAAACGCCTGCTGCTTCCCCTCCTCTCTCCTCGGTTCCCCTCCTCGAGTCCTCCGCTCGCATCTCCTGTGGGCGGGACTAAGAAACGAGGAGGGTAGTCGAGGGGGGGAAATGAGAGAATTGAGAAGCCTTTAAAGTTGAAGTTTGGTAGTGGTTTATATCACAATATTATAAAATAATAAAATAATAATACATTTGGGCTATTTTCCTCTTTATTAAATCTGCTTTCTTTGCCAGTGATTGAATAATTCAGTTTTGGACAGGAAAGGCCTTAAAATGTCATTGTGAGACTTGGACTTACTTTTCCTGATTTGTATGAATATGGTGTCTTGGAAGCCATTGGAAGCTAAATAGTAATATGCATGACATGATAAAAACGTAATCCTTTTTAAATTTTATAAGTATTTTCCCATGTTTTTACAAAATGAGTTACTAACGGATACAGTTAGATCAAGGGAGTAAAGTCACTGCTTGGCTAACAGATTAAACATGTTTTTTATCATGTTACAGAAAAATAATTACTAGTGATAAACTAGTGTAAGGGGGAGAAAGGGGGAAATGCCACATTGCAAATGGTAAAGCAGCCCTACAGTAGTTCATGTTTTTCAAAAGTTAGCCAGTGATTTAACTTCCACAGACAAACAGGTAAACTTGCATTTCTGTTTGTTGCCGTTGCTGGTGGGGAGGACTCCAGCGTTACGCGCCAGCAGTTTGACCGGCAGGGATTTGACCCGTCGTACCAGAGGCATTGCAACTCGAGGTCGTTTCACAGGCACCACCCGAGGGACTGGAGACACGCGGCCATGGTACTCAAACAACCTGGAGGGTGAGAGAAGAGAGAGAGGAAGAGAGTGAGGACAGAAAGAAGGCAGGATATGATTGAAAAGGAAGAAAGCAACAGGAAAATGGAGATGAGGACAAACATTTATGAGTCAGAAAAATAAAGACAGGGTCGAGATAAAAAGAGGAGCAGGGGAAGGGAGATGGAGAAGGGAAAAAAAGCCTCCTTTATACCTCGTCCAGAGATCGAGAAATAAACTATCTTTATAATTAATTGAACTAATCTATATTCTTTTTCTGTACACTCTATACTAATGCCATCATTTTGGCAAAAAAACAATCACATTGTTTAGTTCTCGTAGGAACAGGTACAACGCTCTAACACCAGGCATTAATCAAACATTTGAAAGCTATTTCGATTTCATAATTGGAAATAGTCCAATGTTTCTCTAAAGATGTATTAGTTTACACTGTGTTCAGAGCTTGGCACCACAAGCTTACAAATGATTTTACTTGCTTCCAGTTGCAAGTAGCTCCTGTATTTCCATGTAGTCTTTCACTGTGTGCATAAACCAGCTTTCAGGCTACTTGATCTCAGTCTGCATCATGGCCTTTTTATGTACACTAAATGTAAGAGCTCTGTTTTGTTAATAACCTTCATTAGAAATGTTAATTGTCTTATGCCATTTAAAATACACATTCTTAAGGTGACTGCTCATATTGTAGGATATATGTTGATGTGGTTGATGCAACTGGACTCTTTGGTTGGTTTCTTTCTTTCATTGCAGTTGCTACACCCCTCTATATCATTAGACAGCAAACACAGGGGAGTCATTAGCCTCATGAAGTGGATTGAAATGGATCAGTTGATGGATCGAATGAGCCAGGAGCTCTTTGGAGACAATAAAAGAATGATTTGATTCTCTGCATTGTTGGCCATGAACTCCTAATGTCAATACTTCAGGTCATAGGAGGAGCTGACAGGGTTTTTGACATCATTGCTGCTCACAGCTGCAGCTCATTTCAAACACCACCCACTCAGTATCTGCTTTTGACAGATATCTAGGTTTAATGGCCAGTACTTTAGGTCATCTGGCGTGAATAGCATACGTAAGATTAAATGTTGAAGAAAAGAGTCTGTACTTTGAGAATTTCTCTTGGCTGAAATTGACCGAAGCTTTGTGTCTAGATTAGATAACTTTGTGGACAAAATCCAGCACCTTATTCATCAATCTAGTGGTCCAGCAAACTATTAATGCCATTCAGACTCTCAAAGAACATTAGAAAGAAAATAAAATGCCTGACTAATAAGAACAAGCCTGCTTTTGGAACTGCAGTCTGTTAACAAAACATCAACTACTGTGGATTTAAAAACAATAATTTACTATTGTTTATATTTCCTAAAGTAATATTAATGCTTTGAATCAGTATTGTATTAAATATGTCATCTACAAAGCAGAATATAATCATATTTAACTTTCATTTTGTCATGAAAATGGCTGTTTAGTGGCTTATAGAAGATAATATGGATCTTATTCAGGATGTCTGAATTCTAATTGATTCAAATATCAAGTACTACAGACCATCTTATGATGGGATGGCAGTAGCCGCAACGCAAAAGGGGCCAGGTGCATCCAGTGGGTGAGCCAATGGACCCAAACAGTGAGCGTGCTCACTCATACCTGAATGGATCGGGTTGCACTGTGAGAATCACCTTTTTTGATTTCTCCAGTGCATTCAACACGATCCAGCCTCGGCTACTGAGTGACAAGCTGCAGGCTATGAGGGTAAACTCGTCCACCATCTCCTGGATTACCAACTACCTCACGGACAGACCACAGTACGTCCGGCTGGGCAGTGTGCTGTCTGATGTGGTGGTTGGTAGTATTGGAGCCCCACAGGGGACTGTGCTGTCTCCTTTCCTGTTCACCTTATACACCTCTGACTTTCTATACAACTCAGAGTCATGCCACCTGCAGAAGTTTTCGGATGACTCTGCAGTGGTAGGGTGTATAAGGGATGGACGGGAGGAGGAGTACAGAGCGCTGGTGGGTGATTTTGTTGAGTGGACTGGAGGAAATCATCTGCTTTTGAATGTGGCCAAGACCAGAGAGATGGTCATTGATTTCAGGAGGAAGAGGACATCTCCTCCTCTGCCCCTGTGCATTCTGGGAGAGGATGTGGCAGTTGTGGAGGTCTACAAGTACCTGGGAGTGCACTTAGACAATGGGCTGAACTGGAGGATCAACACTGACGCTGTGTACAAGAAGGGGATGAGCAGACTCTATTTTCTGAGGAAGCTGAGATCCTTCAACGTATGCAGTAAGATGCTGGAGATCTTCTATCAGTCTGTTGTGGCTAGTGCACTCTTCTTTGCTGCGGTCTGCTGGGGGGGCAGTATCAGAGCCGGTGACACCTGCAGGATCAATAAACTGATCAGGAAAGCTGGGTCAGTCATCGGCATCAAGCTGGAACCCTTTGAAGCTGTGGTGGAGAGGAGGACACTGAACAGGCTGTTGTCCATCATGGATAACCCCACCCATCCTCTCCACCTGCAGCTGGACAGTCAACGGAGCTCCTTCTCCAACAGACTGCTGCAGCTCCCCTGTCACAAGGACAGATACTGGAAAACATTCCTGCCCACTGCAATAACACTGTACAACAAATCACCTCTGGCTGGAAGAGAACTCTCTGCTCCATAGTTTCTCTAGAAATAAAACCACCTTGTACATTTTACTCACACATAATCTGTTTCATATTTAATACTCCATAATTCCATATATTTTGAATATATATATATTTGTATATTTGTATATATATATATATATATATATATATAATATCTGTATGTATATTTTCTATTTTGTATTTTGACATGTATATTTTATATTTTATTTTATATTTTATTTTATTTTATTTCTATTCTTGTATATTTTGTTTTATTGTAAAATGCCTTTTATGCTGCTGTAACAAAAACAATTTCCCAATTTGGGATCAATAAAGTACGATCTATCTATCTATCTATCTAAACCAACTCCCCCACAGGGGTGTAAGTGGATGGGCCAATAGCCCTTTTTTCGTCCTTTTCAGAGACCACGCCCATCTTTTCAAATCAACTTTTGTTTTGATCTCGAATACAAATCTGAGTGCACCTTGCATGATTGATTCTATTGCAGTCACACACATAGACACGCTCCCTTTGTTGAAACACAGACATTATCAAACTCGACCTTCATTTTGACCACAACGACATACCTGTTCAACTTCATCACACAGACACACTCACAAGGTTTAAACAATACCAGAATATCCAAATTAGGGTTTCCTCAAGGGTCTGAGCAATTCTACAATATGTACTCCAAACTTTTCTATTTCCAAACACAGTGCATCTCCCACTTCTCCCACATCCAAGCTGTGTGTGGTAAGGGGCCTGAATGCAGCAATGATAGAGTCTTGCACGATAACTACTGTACCACGCTTTAGAAATAATTTAGTCACAAAAAATCCGGTCAATAGATTGGGTGCAGCTACACTTTGACACATAAACATCTAAGCAGACCATTACATTGAATATTCAACTGATACAAATCAGACCAGAATGACGTAGGTCAGATTGTGTTTAACTTTGTAACATATGGTTATGTATGCAAATCAAATTTGTTATTGAGAAAATGCTCCCAGTTTGGTGCTCATTTTGAAAGCAAGTGCAAAGCCAAAAGAACAATGTAATGATGACTAGACATCCTGCAAAGAGGACAGGAACTATTTCACAAGTTCTACAGTAGTACATGCTTTCGAAGTGGTCAGGGGAAATGTCTTAATCACAATTATACAGATGAATTGATATACATATTGTAAATTGTGCAACATGCCTACTCAGGGTTTACTTTGCATGTTTCCCAGCTCATGCCTATGTGACCTATTCAGTATTTGGGCCTCTGTTTTGTTTGAAGGACACAAAAGGAGTTTATTCAAGTGCCAGTAAAACGTGTGATTAGTTGTGAATTGACAACATTTTGGGAGGCCTGAATGGAATATGTTGATTTAATTCAAACATTCTGACAACACTGACCTCCCATTGGCTTTACTCCATCAAAGTCTATGGGATATGTTCCAGTGGAGTCAGTGTTTGAACCATTGTTATCAACCTTTGTTTTAAATCACCACAAATAAGATGTCCAGGTGGCAATGTTCTTTACTCCCTTACCCTAGCAGGCATATGCTGAGGAATAAAAGGTAAATCATATTGTGTAATATGACAATTTAATTTCACCATTTGGAGACAATTGTAAGGCTGCATGAAGCAAATACTCATGCAGATGAGGTCTTTAATGTCCATATTTACTGTAAAAATAGGAATACCAGGAATAATCGAAAATAGAAAAAAAGACACTGCTAGAGAGATGAAAGAGGTTTATAAAAGAATGGGGCGAAATAAATAAAGAGGGAAAGTAGAACAATTCAACTTATTGTGAAGGTGCATGTATACCACATTCTTATACTAAGAATTGAAGGGGAAGGAGTGAGACTGCCAAATCACAGTGATGGGTGTATTTCAATTCTGAAGTCTGTGAACCAGCTGTTCAGCATGTTTCAACATCTGTTAAGATAGATGCTTGTCCAGTAAAGCTCAGACAAACTCTGGAATAGGGGATGGATGGAAAGAGATTAGCGAAATCAGTTTGTGGGCAAGAGATCACTTTGTTAAAACCAGTAGCATTTGTTTCTTTGCAGAATGTTTGTGCTCACCCTAAATAATGGGATGAGGAGCTCAGACATCTGGAATGAGGGTTGCATTTTCTAGTAATGAAAAGAGCAAGTTAAGGTGGTGGTAAGATTAAGTTAAATGCCCTCCCTGTAGAGTATTCCAGGCACGTCAAACTAGGAGAAGACCTCAAAGTAGCACCAGAATGTGATAGAGATTATACATCCCATCTGGACCGGGACCACCTTGGAATTCTCAAGGAGAAGCTGAGGAAGGAGAGGGGTCATCATTATGACTACGAATCAGACTAGGAAAATCAAATAAAAATGGACGG